TCAAGTGACTGTATTGGACCAATCAGTTAACGCGTTGTATAGAACAGTTATAAATTCTTTTAAATTCTTTTACTACTTCTTCTAACAACTTTGAAAACTCTGAATTATGTAAGACCTAATTTTTGTTAATAAATGACTGTACATGTAAGAAAAAAATAATAAAAACAATTTCAGCTTTTATTAGCTAAACATGATGCGTGACTGTCAGCTAAATTTCCATGTCCGACATTTGAGAACTTATATCTGGAATATGATCGCACATTGCCAAATCAATATTCGACACAATAAGGAATCATTTATTACAGAAACCAATATCCCGAATGTTTTCTTTTTGAAATTACATTAGCGGCCCTTTTAAGAAATGAGATGTCATTTGTTGTGTACATGTCTATTAGCCTCAAAAGGAGGAAACGTTTGAAATTAAACTGTATCATTTAAAAATTGCAAAGGTGAAAAAAGAAAGAAAGAAGTTTTTATAAAGGACAAAATCAATTATAACCGCTTTTGATAAAATGTAATATACTTCTGAAAACAAAAGTATCAATTTTCATATACTAGATTAACTTTTATAAGATAATCCTAAGACATTATTATGTGCCTCTTTTTCCTGTTTCTAATTCAACTAAGATAGGCTCAGAAGCAGAATTTTTTTAACACTGAAAACATACTTATTTTTTTCAGTGTATACAAAAAATGCGCTTGGAAATTAAAAAAAAAAATCTTTTTAAATATATGAACTTTTATGTACTACGTAATAAACTATTTTGAAACAATTTTATACACCATGACGTGTGTGAATATTTGTTCCCATTAGTATTTATCGTTGATACAGAAAACATATGGTTCTATTTGGGATGGATGTCCCCTTTCCTCTGGACATCTGTGTAGTTTTTTTTTTTTTTATGTTTTAATGTACAAGTGCTCTCTCTATATATATATATTTTTAATTGAGCTAGAATATCAAATATAAAAAAAAATGCCTAGTGTGGAATTGTACAGTATATGTATCATATTTTCGAATTAATACAATCCGTTTCTAGAACATGTCTAATCCCCCTCCCTTTCAAAATTAATGGATCTGCCTCTGGAATTGTACACATGTAAAAACAAAGGCAACTTCAGAATATATTAACAAGTAGAGCAAAGCTCGTTGCAAAGCAACGAGTAGGTCTTCTGTCCGATTTTCAGAAGCACTGCTTGTAAGACGGTTAAATGAAAGTAAAGTATTCGTTAAAAAGAAGGCCTCCAGACCAAAAATTATGTCGATCTGTATTTAGTTTTTTATGATTTTTATGCTGATTTTCGTTATATAAGAAAATATCGTTATATATCGTTTTCGTTATATATCGCAATTCAAGACTACTTCCGGTTTGACCGGAAGTGACCCCAATCGACAGAAAATTGGGTCAAAAGTCTTGGTTGAATTCAATCATTTGATTTTATATTGATATCTGCAGAAATACGTCATTTATAGTTACTTCCGGTTTAGCCGGAAGTGACAAAAGAGACGATACTCGACAAGAAATACAATCAGACGCCTCTGTGACATGCATAATTCAATTCAATACAGTGCTGCTATCCTATAAGTTGACAATCCTATCCCATTCTATCATGAATCCTGCATCCACGATCCTATCCTGTGATTCCAGTCTAATCCTATCCTATCCTGCTGCTCTCAGTTTTTTTTTAAATATTAAAAGTTGATTTGACAAAATGAAAAAATAAAAATAAAATGTCCATCAAATAAATATCAGTTATAGTTATGTAATTAATTTAAATGTAATAAATTTTAATGGAGAAAAAATAATTGAGATCGACATCCATTAATTTCCAACACCTCTCACGAATTAATTTGTGAGTAACCAGTTAAAATGTAAACAAAAGGATTGTAATAAAACGTAGGCAAGTATTGATCTAGCAAACATGTGAAGAAATTGGAGAAAAAAATATAGTTAAACTTATTTGTGTTTAATTTTACGTACTAACAATGATCGGGAGACGTCAAGGTATTTGTGATTTCTTTTTTAATTTGTTCTCTATGAAAAATAAATGGAGTTAAAATTAGAGAGAGAACAAGAGGCCCAAGGGCCTTGAATCGCTCTTCTGATATACTGTACAACCTATCAATTTCTATTTGAAGCCTCTAAGTATCCTGTATATTTAGATAAACCCTTGAAATTCCAATTCACACTCTGAGAACCCAAGATGATTCTAATCCAATTAGTACCTGAGAGTTGGTCATGGTGACCTACTTATCACTTGTCATTCTCTGAGGACCCATCAACTAAGTTTGATGATTCTAAGCCAATCAATACCTAAAATAATTTTTAAAATTATAACCATAAAATTTTATAAATAGGTCAAGGTGACCTACTTTTCAGTTGTTGTACTCCGAGGACCCAAGATACATCGACTGACAAAGTCTGATGATTCTAACCAATTAGTACCCAAATATTTAATTAAAGCCATAAATTTTCAAAAGTAGGTCACAGTGACCTACTTTTCAGTCAACCTACTCCAAGGACCCAAGATACATCAACTGTTAAAGTTTGATGATTCTAAGCCCATAAGTACCCAAAAATATTTAATTAAAGCCATAAATTTTCAAAAGTAGGTCACCGTGACCTACTTTTCAGTTGTTGTACTCTGAAGACTCAAGTTGCATCAACTGACAAAGTTTGATGATTCTAAGTCAATTAGTAACCGAAATATTTAATTAAAGCAATAAATTTTAAAAACTAGGTCACCGTGACCTACTTTTTAGTCGACCTACTCCGAAGATCCAAGATGCATCAACTGACAAAGTTTGACGATTCTAAGCCAATTAGTACCTGAAATATCTAATTATAGTCATATAAATTGACCTTTTTTTTGAGGACCCAAGATGCATCAACTTACAAAGTCTTATGATCATAGGCCTTAAAATGTCCAAATTATGCCTCTAAAACACTTTGAAATCAAATGCCTGCAAAGTTCAAAAAGTAGGTCACTGTGACCTACTTTTTAATAAAAATGTTTTATGGCCCCAGGATGCATCATCTTACAAGATTTAATGATTCTAAACTTCTCGGTATTCAAATTAATGACCTTAATTGTTTTGAAAAAGATTAGCCATAAAGTTCAAAAAGTAGGTCAAGGTGACCTACTTTTTAGTTGACGTACTTTGAGAACCCAAGATACATCAACTGACAAAGTTTGATGATCATAAGCTTTAAATTGTTCAAAGTATGCCTCCAAATCATTTTGAAAAAGAATGGCCGCAAAATTTAAAAAGTAGGTCACCGTGACCTACTTTTGAGTCATCATGATATGAGATCCTTAGATGCATCAACTGACAAGATTTGATGATCCTAGTCCTTATAGTAAGCAAAATATCAACATTTTAATAAAATGTAATTTTTGGTCAATTTTGAAGTGACCTTGAGACCACGCCCTTTGCCCCAGGGTAATGCCTTGAACAATTTTTAATCTACAACATATCCTCATCCTTTTGTAAGTTTGGTGATAATCTGCCAAGTGGTTCTTGAAGATTTTTTAGCAACCAGTACTTTTGTTTCTATTTTCCTAATTATCTCCCCTTGTTTAAGGGTCACAACCCTAGTTTTAGTATAAAAGCGAGCCCTGGGCCAAGGATACCCTGTGACAAATTTGACAATAATTGGCCAAGGCGTTCTTGAGTTATGGCCCATAATCTAAAAAGTTTACGCACACCACACAAATGGCCATAGCATTAGCTCTTTGAGCCTTTGGCTCAGAAGAGCTAAAAAGGGGGAAACGATAAAGATTGCAGATACTTTTCTAATGTTATGATAAAGTAGACAAAAGAAACATAATTTAAACTCGTTTTAAGAGTCAGACCACGAATACCAAATCTTTCATGCGGGGTAGGTACACTGAATTATAACCGTACCCATTGAAGAAACAATTTCTCCATCATGTCTACACATACTAAATAATGACAAAAGTAGGATTTGTTTGATGTTTTAACAAGTGTATGTTTCATCTGTTCATGTAAAATTTATGCAAAACTTTATTTTTCCCTTAACTGGGCATCACGAAAATAACATAGATCTAACTGCACCTATATCAGCTGTATATTAGATTTTACTCTTGACGTAAGTCTCAATAAGAACTTCAAGACATGACAAGACCATAAACCGAGAACAGACAAATCAAAATTTAGATCTAAAATATGTTGACTTTCATTCATTAAATAAGTTAAAACTGTCTTATTTAATATCTTCAATTTTAAATGTATGACAAAAATTAGTTTTATATTTATTATTAAAGTTATTCTTGTTTGAAATGTTCAGTTCATCATTTATTTGTATGTGAATATTTTACGAACATGCAACATTTTCATCACGTTTGCTAAATAAAAATCAAGATACAGTTCTGTTCAGGATTGTTTCGTAGTCATCAGAGTAAAAACGCCCTGCAGTTTTACTTCTTTATTATGTAGCAGTAAATATGAATGTGGCAACTGAAATAACAATAGATAATACTTAGTTAAATAATTTGGAAAATTTAGCAGTATTCACTCTCATACAAATATCTTACACACTTCACCAAAATCCTAATTAAGTTTTTCTCGATAATAATGATCAGAAAATAATTTTACAAACACATACATTTCACATATAAGAAAAAACATACATCGTTGCACCTTTGCACCACGAAAAGCAGTACTGGAGCGTCCCAGACGCTTTGGGGGGAAACGTTGATGGACTGCGTCCCAGACGCACGGTAGCTATTCCACCTAAAATTTAAATATAAAATAAGGGTAGTATAATAAAATGCAATAGGTCCTTAACTGCAGAACTTAGTTATAAATAAAAGAAATTTCATTGGTTATCCTTCTCATTGTTATTTAAATTAATTCTGATGACCTCTTGCCGAATTGGAAGTTGGCTGCAAAGGGCAGTAACTCAATCTCATTATTGAAGGAGTAATAAAAGGTAACTCTCATAAATGAAAGATAACTCTTACTTCATACCTCCTATAGTCATTTTCTCAAATTGTGGTATCTATAAGTTGTATTTTAATTGTTGTCTGACCTGTTCAGTATAGCGTGGCAATCCACACTGACTGAAAATGTGGTCAAGAAGCTGCGTAACAGTGGTCAAATTTGGTTGTGTCTGAAAACAAATATATACACATGTATTTAAAAAAAATAAAAATTCTTCGTACTTACATTAAAGTAATCTAATGAAACAGTTTGAGAAGTATAACAATAATATTTTTACAAATTGTGCAATTGCATTACCTTTGATAAATAGAAAGCCCTCTTTTATGTCTGTGTTAATCTCCCTTTCAGTCAAATCATAAACGTCACTTTCTTTTCTTTCCTTATCCCTCCAGTACAGCACCTGTAATGCAAAATATTAAAATTAGTGCCTGTTCTTATCCTGGTTAAAAGAGAAATTATAATGAATTCTTTGCCACATAAAAATAGAAAATATTTAATATTAAAGGCTTAACATTTCCATTATGAGTGTTATATTTCACATATATTCACAAAAACATTACACAATACAGACACAAACATAGACTAATAAAACACAATCAAACAAAAACACATGCAGTTAAAAGGTGCTTAGCGATATTTTCAGTTTGCAAACCCTTTATAAAATTATGGGTTTTTGAAAACATTGATTTCAACATGCACTTTAAGATATGGCTGTACGTCTGGTGTGAAACATGATGGGGAATTGCTGTTGTAGGCAACGAAGGTAAATATGCCTTAATACAACATAGAAATATTCACAGATACTTTCTTGTCTATCCGTTAAGTTTACCACAAACTTTACAGTCATGGGGGATGAAAATCACTTCGCTATCAGCATCAATTTATTATAAGCGTATGTGTTCGCTAAAAGCATGTTTCACTGTATGCCTTTTTAGAGTTGAGTAGCATGTGATATGCTGGTAAAACATGAGTCTACACAATCATGTAGTACACATCATTAAATGTCAAAAAACTTACACTCTCCTTAAATGAGTAATTGTGATTAACAATGATAATTAATGTACTTATAGCCTCCACCTGTTATCTGAAATTTCAAAGTGTATCTGCAAGGTAATGTGACTGTAACATATTAATTGGAAACTGGAAATAAGTTTCATTTAATTACTTTAAAAACTCCATCTTTGAAACTTAATATCTTCCCTTCCCAGTCTACATTTTCTCCATCATTATTTGTCCAAGTATGTATTATTTCCTTCTCCACTATATCCTCTGGAGACACATTTACAGTTGACTTTCTGATATTTAACAACTCAATTAAATTTTCTTTCAATTTCAGATGGTCAAATTGTTTTCCTTTTGATGAATACTGGCAAAGGTGTTTATGTTGTTTGTTAATTTTGAATATTTTTTTTATACATATTTATCTGTGTTTTCAAAGCCTGTAATTTCTCTTTTTTTGTTTTCAACTTCTCTACTTCTTTTTCGATAATCTCTCTGCTCTCCCAAATCCTGTGTTCTCTCATGCCTTCTATTGCCTTATCAACAGCTTCTGTCTGTCTCTCTCTCTTCCTCTTCGTTTCTTCTTCTTTCTCTTTTAAAATTTTTAAATGTTCTTCATATAATTTAATTTTTCTATCTTTCTGTAATTCCATGAATTTTTTATTTTCTTTCCTGGCATTTTCAATTATTAATTTTCTTTCAGAGTCATCCTTTTCAGTTAACCACTCACTTGTTTTGTTGTCATTAAAAATGATAGAACTTTCAATGGTATTTATACTGGAAGTTGGTACTGTTTTCAAACTGAAGTCTAACTGTCCCATAAGTCTCTCTAAACATATGTTGTTTGAAATACATGATGAACATTCTGATAAAATATCTGGATTTACATTAAAATATTTGCCACCTGACAGAAAGTCACTAAAATTTTTTTCAACTTTTGTTTTTAAAACACCACAAAGTCTTTTTTAAAAAACAGTAGTTAAATCGTTGTGTAAACAACAATCAAGTAAATAATCTGAAACACTGTCATAAAACTGTGGCCCATAAAATAATCGCAATTGTTGCTTTAAAGCCAATGATGGATCATCATAAAACATATTCAAAAAAGGTAAAAGCCTCTCATATACAGACCCCATATATAAAATATTGCCAACTTCTTAAGCCTTTAAAAAGTAAGGTTCAGTAATTAATTTGTATAAAATTCCAAAAGCTCTTAAAAGACATAAAATAACCTTATTTTGTAAGGATAAAACAATGAAATTCTGTAAAACCGAATAGGAAGTTTTCAATGAAAAGAAATATTGTAATAGTAGTTTATGGATAAAAAAAAGTCCCAACAGCATTGTAAAATGAAACATTAAACCTGCTTCCTCTAAAATTAATTATTGGAATATATTCTTTGACTGAATTTGAATAACTTTTAAAATTGACATGTAATTCTTTTTCAATATTAAAAGATTCTTCAACACACACATCAGAAAATTGTATAAGTGGATGTATACAGCACATTTAAAAGAATGAACTTCATGAGGTATTTCCTCGCTTAAAAGTCATTGACTTTCTGCTTGGTGGCACTTCTGTCTGTCATAAAACAGGACACTTAGAAGACAAATCATTTAAAATTTCTTTTGTACAATTAATATAAGTATCACTTTTTCCATTACATACTTCTCTAACAACCGCAGTAAAAATATCTTCCCCTGTGTTCAATTTAACACCATAAAAATGTTTACCTTTTTCGTAGTCGCATCCCTATGCATTGTTGTGTTATCAGAAGTTAAAAGTTTTTCATTCAAATGGTTTCTAGATACAACACCCATTTCACTAGTTCAAATTGCATCAGTACTTTCGCTGGGTAATTTTTTTTACAGTAATATTAAACAAATTTAAAACTGCTTCAATAATTGGTGCTATATGTACAATGCCAACACTGTGGCTTCTAAAAATATAATACAAATTCCTTAATTTAAAATTAAAAGGCTTTCCTTTTGACATCTCTTGAAAATCTAATTTTTTTTTTCTATCTGTACAACATCATTGGAACTGTCTTCAACATTCTCTTTTTCTGACAACAAAACATCCATTTCTTTTTTAATGTTTTTTATATATGTTTTAAAAGTGTTACACTGTACACCTTTTTCTTTTGCATTTTTTTTTTATTTTTTCATTCTGCTGTAAAACTTCCACCTCTTTTTTTAAAAATTCAATTCTCTCTTTTTTCCTTTTCAAATTTCTTTTAATGTTGCTAATGTTTATTCCCCTTAAACGGTCTTTCAATGCGGAATTCTCCCTCTTTAAATGTAAAATTGTTCTTTCTTGTTCATTTATTTTGGCCTGTAATTCTGGATAAGTAATACTGTCTTCTTTGGGTTTCTTAATGGTGTCTTCTTTGGTCTTCTCTTGTTTTGTTGAATTTTGTAATTAAAATTTCTTCTTGCAATATGCAGCATATTTCTCCCTGTTGGTGTATTTATTCAAACGTTCTATTTCTTTGACTATTTTTTTAACTTTCCAAAGTAGGGCAAATTTACTTATTTCAGTGCAAATGTTTTTGTGAATTTTCTGTATATAATCAGGACTGCCCTTGTGTTTGTCGTAAATTTCTTTAATGTTAATGTATAGAACCTCCATGATCATAAATTAACAGGTATAGAGTGAAAAATAGTGAGCTAACTAATGTTAATTATATGCTGTAGAGAAATGAAATGAAAATAAAATTGAAATAAAAGAAGAAATGAAATAAATATAACAAAAAGTAAAATGACAGAAACAGAAAAAAATTGAAAGAAATTGAAAATAAATGACAGATGAAATAAAATATAATAAGGTAAAATAAATGATAGATGAAATTAAAAAAAGGGGAAATGTATATGTGCTACATGTAACTATTACACAGAAACAGATACATTTACCATGTTTACATTTTACAACATATAAACAAAACAGAAGCACACATAACAATTAAGTTTAAAGTATATTTACCTTAATATGGATAATCTTTTTGTTGATATTTCACTCTTGTAAACTGTTAATTTTAATTTCAGACCTGTAAATATAAATATTAATAATAGCATTTCACTGTAAATCTGACATTTGACATATTTATGCAAAATTCACAATAAAATTCTGTTTAACTGTTTAAGCCATTGGGCCTACATTGAAAGGTAGGTTTGAAGACAAAGTATAATTAATAAATGAAATATGTATATTTACATCATGTATATGTATGTAAATTGACACTTCAGTTTTGTGAAGTAAACTATAACAAGGGCAGGTAATTTACTTACAGTATCTTCGATTGTCAAACAGTTGATCCGAGTTTTATAAAGTGTGACAAAAAGTGAGACGTGAAATAGTTTTTTAATTACATCAATAATAAAGAATAGGTAATGAGCAATCACTCTACACTACTTAATCTTCCTTAATGTAAGATTTTTAGACACAAACACCAAAAATACAAAATATGTCAAACTGTTTGCAAGCAATCGTGTTGCATTTTCTAAAACTTAAAAACTACGATCGCCATTTCAAGAATAAATTATCATAACAAATGTGAAATAAAACTATATAGGAGCTTTAAATGAGATGTCACAGATATGTATGATACCTACAGCCAATAACTTACTTACCTCTACCCTAAGCTACGGTCTTCTTTCACAAACGTGATAACATGGATGCCTGCTGCCTTCCGGTTGGTTACTATATTTAGATAAAATGGCGTTAGCTGGAATGGCTATGTTTTTGACTTTCTCTTGTTCAATTTTTAAAGCGCTCTTCTGACTTGGACCAAGTGTTGACTAAATGACGAAAACATGAACAACACAGAGGAATCTTAAATCGGAATCCAAAGTATTTTTTTTTGGGGGGGGGGTACTTTTTTTATTTCGAATAATGACAATAATTTACTTTTTTTACTTATAATATGAAACTTGCGAAATCGTTCTCTGTTTTTTTGTTATTTTTCCCTTTTTTTGCCTGATCAGCTAAATAAAACGCAATGAATCTGAGCTATACATGCTGAAATGTTATATAAGTGGAAAACCTGGGCGATCTTGTATGGCTATATAATTATCTGATTATTGAGTAGCTGTATGGGCTATTACGATGATGTTTTGGGTGACTTTGCTTATAATACGGAATATAAAGTCCCACGGAATAAAGAACTGAATTAACACATTCATAACACAGTTTTATCGTAGCTCTGATTTCAATTCTTAGTTTTATTTGTAATTAATAAGTTTCGAGAAAACAATTATTGTCTGACGTCATGGCGTCAGACAGTACTAGATTTAGCCAAGACTTGTTAGTCAAGTCGTTCAATAGAATTTTTGTGATAACTTGATCTTGGAAACTTCATACTCTCTTAACCATCAATTGGACAGCATGTGGAGTAAAGGAAACATGCAAAACACCCAAACAAGCCAGAGCATCGGAGCTGATGGCATTATTATCACATTAAACATTACTGGTTATATAAGGTTTGGCCATTCTCGAAAATTGCATCATTCATGTCCAGCAAAACAGAAGGAATGAATAAAGCAGGTCAGGTCAACACTTGTCGATTATCTTTATCAGATAAACTAATGGATGTTTATTTTAAATGCATACTACGTCTCTCTACCTTTAGAATTGTTATAAATCTACACATACTCATAACTTGCAGACGTTTGATTTATTCATAGTTATAAAAAAAGGATAGAATAAGATGTTGAATATCCTTTTGCCTAAATGCAAAAAATGTTAGCTCATTTAAAACACGTTTATTATTTCTAATGAAACATTTCTTAATTATATGTATCAAAATTTTTCACCACTTAATGTTTAGATTGTTATGTGTTGTAACTTTTTCTCCCAAAAGTGCTGATTAAATATGTAGTAAGGTCAGATTAATAAAATTTATTAAAATATTAAATGTGTTTGTTTATGTAATTTCAATGTTTACCTGGCCATGTGCTTGTGTTGTGTTTTGTGTTCTGTGTAGTGTTTTGTCCAGTTTGGTAGTGTCATGTGATGTATTATTATTATAATTGAGGCCTTGCCCTGTTCTGCTATTGGTTAAGTCATTTTGGTCAGTCAGGTGGTACATTTATCCCATGCAGTTCATGCTTTTCACTTTCTAGCCAGACCTTGGTCCTGATACATGTAGCAGCAGGTTAGATTTCTCTTACTAATTTTACTAATTTTGTTGTTTAATTAATTCTCTATACTTTTGACAATGACATTTAAAGTTAATATAAAGTTTATCTAAAGCTTAAGATTTGAATAAGTTAATTATTTTGCTTGATTAAAAGACTTATTGATTTTAAATAATCTGAATGTTAAAAACTACATTTAAGTGTGTATGCAGCACCTTGAACTGTTTTATATTATTTTGATGACTAGGTGCTGGGTTACCATATGACAAGTTGTTGTAAATATATAAATCTGAATCAGTAAGCCTCCAGACACATTGTCTTTGGTAAGAACATGTATTATTTATTTTAGATATTTTTATTACTTTGAATTAGTTAATGAAGCTATTGGTTATAAAGTGTGTTTGACAAATATTTTTGATTTATCAAGTTTAATTACCAAAATCCATTTTTACCTCTACTTTTTATGTTTTATCTGTAAAGCCCTAAAAATCTGTTCAGTTGAAATTAAAAATTATTGCCCTTTATTCAGAGTGCTATACATACTGCATCATGAAGGAAAGTATAATGTTGAGCATAATGTTATACGATTGTATTTCATGTGATATATATGATTGTTTATGTTGTAATTATTTGATTTGTAGATTTACATGTATTTATAATATATTTTCAATTTTAGGGCTCAATTCATCAAGATGTGCTAAATAAAAGAATAGAATCCATACAGCAGTCTTATATTTATTGGACCTGTAACATTTGGCGCCCATGCAGGGACCCAGCTCTGCAAGACTGATGTCCATGTGATGGTGGATGGAATTCTCCCACTCGTTGACCAGAGAATACCCACTCTGTGACTGGAGGATACCTACTCTGTGATTGGAGGATCCCCACCCCACCATGTGACAGTAGGATCAAATACACCTACAGGACCAGATCTGTGTACATTAACTGCTTTAACCGTGTGAATTCTTCAGATATTTATTGGACCTGTAACACATAATTTCAGAAAATTTTAGTTTAGGGTGGACACTGTCAAGGAAAAATTTTTTATCGAGCATAAAAAAAGTTATCAGAAGTTAATATTTACCTGATTTAGGGGACAGAAACATAAAGTAGCAATGTATAAATCGGCAAAATTATTGGGGCACGGTCCCCGACCACACACATCCTCCCTCGGTTCTATGTCCGTGAAAAAAGGAAATTACCAGTAATATAGTGTAAATAGAATAAATTCATGTGCAAGTTTTATTTTACGTTAATGCCACTGAATTGAACTTTTCTTGCTTCTTAGCATGACTCAGAGTTATGTTGATTACATTGGATTTAACTTTTCTTGATTCTTCGCGTAAAAATAAATTTGCTCAAGTCAGACAAGCTTTTTAGAAAAGCTAATACTTGTATCGTTTATAGTTAGATCGAAATATTTCCGTCCCTCCTTTTCCCTCTTTTCCCCCTAAAATAAAAGTGATATGTTGTTAATTTGACACTAATGATACATTCAATTTTTTTTCTATACAAACATCATTTCCTATTAATTAATTACCCTGATTTATTTGCGTTTACACGCACGTACCGCATACATGGATATTTAGCCCAAAGAGGTTACCCCCCCCTTTTTTTTTGATTATCTTTCTTAAATAGATTTCTGCTTTCAGAATCTTTTATTTTAGGGGGTTGAATTTTCGAGAGTTCCTAATTACATGTAGAGCAATTAGCAAACATAACAATATAGAAGGGGTTCGGATATTTTCTAACCTTTTCATATTATCGTAGACTGTGACTATATAACAGAAAAACTGGGCCCTTTATAGTTCTGGTCTAAAGAACAAGGTACTGTTTCAATACAAATCTTGCCCTGTGTTTTTCTTAAAAATAAAAGTGATGTAAAAAATTAAAACTCATGCTTTTTGAATTATTGAAATTCCATGCAGAAAGATCATACAAATCTTTTTTTCTCACATGACCTTTCAAATGCTAATTGTGACGTCATAAACTTGTGCATTTTCCCGTATTTTCTTGAAAAGTTGCAGAAGACATCAATTTTCAATGGAATTTTCTTTCAGATAATATTGTCCACAGGCATCGCCCACAAAGATTTTGAGACATGTGATCTTTCAAAGAATTTTACACAATAGCGGCATATCGAAACCAAGACATATATTCAAGAATTCGGCTTCACACCAATCGATACCTGTCATCATGGTCATTACATAATATTGACAGGGTTGTCCCTAAGGCCCGGGAGCCGGGGAATTTCCCCGCCTTTAATGACATATCTGGCATTCCCATTCAAATCCCTGTTACATGTAGAGGAGGAACCCGACACCCCCTTCAGTGTTCCCTTCTATTCTAATTCTTGGGGACAACCCTGATATTGGTAGTCCTGTATTCATGCAAGTATGCAACGGTAGCATTGCAAAAATAACGAAGGCTGTGTAATATAAGAGAGTACATGTGAACTCAAAATTAATGTTGTATAATTTCAGACTTTGAAAATCACGGTCATACTACATAGAAATAACCAACGATTAAATTTACACATAATTCATAATTAGTAATGATTATCCCAGCTTATCAACATGAGTAGGGGAAAAACCAGAGTTCTGGGACAGTAGCCTCCCCTTTAGTTAACATGGAGTAGCCTCCGATAACCTCCCAAAGTGTGAGACTACCTATGACGTCATATAGGTGTCTAATTAATTAATTAATTATGTATAATTAATCCTATATTTCGAAATCAATCATTTGGTGATTGATTGATTGATTGTTTGATTGATAGGCATGTGTTATTAAATTCATTATTTTACAATGATGTGTGGATGTTCCTATTTTCTTTTGTCATATCTTTGAAATTACCTTGGCTATACTGTTTTGACTAAGACAAAATAAAAACGTGATGATTAATGGCTACATTAAGCTAGTATATCTGCTAATATGTTGCAAGACGTTTTACATCCGTATTAATTATAAATGTTGATGAAGACAAAATTTAATTTAATTAATGTATAAATTAGTTACTATTTAATTGAGGTATTAAATATTTTGAGAAAAAATGGATATTCGAATTTTTTCATATAGTACACCGGATCTCAATCATGTACTCAAGACTTTACAGGTAATGATTCTATGCATTACATGTACAGTTCATGTATCATTCATTTTAATCAACAAATAAAAAAAAAATCAATACAATTATATATTTTATTATCTCTGTACAATAATGAAGCATGGGTCGGAGAGCCATCCCAAGTCCACTTTACAATGACCTACACCCTAATCTATATTGTACAAGTAAAATATTGGAACTATCCAAGAGTCATCTACCATCCACCATACCGTACTCCAAACGATCTGTGTATATGTACGCTCTTTTCGATACGATGGAATCTAAAGTTTGATCTTTTCTGGGTAGTACACTCTTCTATTTACAACTCAGATATATCAAAAGCATTAACCCAAGAATTAAATTTCTTTGGATAATGAAGCCATTTCACAAAATATTGTTTTTGTCTACCTTTTCCTCTTGTTTTCAAGACCTTTTCAACCTTCTGGAGGTCATCCTCTTTTACATCCACTTTTTGAAGTTCTGATTGATAGA